TTGATGCTACTGTAAATAGGATTGTTTTCTTCATTTTTTTTCAGGTAGCTCATTGTTAGTGTATAGAAATCCAATAGATTTTTGTTTGTTAATTTTGTATCCTGTAACACTATTGAATTCATTTATTAGTTCTCCTGGTATTTTGGTGGAGTCTTTAGAATTTTCTATATATAGAACCGTGCCATCTGTGAACAGAAATAATTTTTCTTTCTTTCTTATTTGGATGCATTTTATTTCTTTTTCTTATCTGATTGCTCTTGCTAGTATTTCTGGTACCGTGTTGAATAAAAGTGGCGAGAATGGAGATCCTTGCTGTGTACTGGATCTTAGAGGAAAAGGTTTCTGTTTTCCCCCACTGATTATGATGTTAGCTTTGGACTTGTAATATATGGTCTTTATTATGTCAAGGTACCTTCCTTTTATACCTAATATGCTGAGAGTTTTTTCATCAAAGGATGCTGAATTTTGTCAAATGCTTTTTCTACATCTGTGGAGATGATCATATGATTTTTATATTTTCTTCTATTTATATGGTATATTGCATTTATTGATTTGTGTGTGTGTTGAGCCGTCCTTGCATCCCAGGGATAAATCTCACTTGATCATGGTATATGGTCCTTTTAATGTGCTATTGAATTCAGTTTGTTAGTGTTTTGTAGGTTTTTTCATCTATGTTCATCAGAGATATTGACCTGTAGTTTTCTTTTTTTTGTGGTGTCCTTGTCTGGCTTTGGTATTAGGATAATGTTGGCCTTGTAAAATGAGTTCAGAAGTGTTCCCTCCTCTTCAGTTTTCTGGAAAAGTTTGAGATGGATTGGTGTTAATTCTTCTTTAAATGTTTGGTAGAGGGCCAGCCCCATGGCTTAGTGGTTAAGTGCACGTGCTCCGCTGCTAGCGGCCCGGGTTCAGATCCCGGGCACGCACTGGCGCACCGCTTCTCCGGCCATGCTGAGGCCGCGTCCCACATACAGCAACTAGAAGGCTGTGCAACTACGACATACAGCTATCTACTGGGGCTTTGGGGAAAAATAAATAAATAAATAAAAAATTATTAAATGTTTGGTAGAACTCACCAGTGAATCCATCTGGTACTTGGTTTTTCTTTGTTAGAAGGTTGTTGATTCAGTCTCAATCTCCTTATTCATTATTGGTCTGTTCAGGTTTTCTTCTTCTTATGATTCAGTCTTGGTAGGTTGTATGTTTCTAGGAATTTATCCATTTCTTCTAGGTTATCCAATTTGTTAACATATAATTGTTCATAGTAGTCTCTTGTGATCCTTTGTATTTCTGTTATCAGTTGTAATGTCTCCTCTTTCATTTATAATTTTATTTATTTGAGTATTCTTTTTTTCTTAGTCTAGCTAAGGGTTTGTCTATTTTTTTTATCATTTCAAAATCCAACTCTGTTTTTCTTTGTGAGGAGATAAGCCCTGTGCTAACATCTGCCAACCCTCCTCTTTTTTTGCTGAGGAAGACTGGCCCTCGGCTAACATCCGTGCCCATCTTCCTCTACTTTATACTGGATGCTGCCACAGCATGGCTTGCCAAGCAGTGTGTCAGTGCGCGCCCAGGATCCAAGCCAGTGAACCCCGGGCCACTGCAGAGGAGCGCACACACTTCAAGGCTTGTGCCACCGGGCCGGCCCCCCCAACGCTTTTTTTATAGTTTGTTTTCTTGTTTATATTTCATTTATTTCTGTCCTAATCTTTATTATTGTCTTCTTTCTACCAACTTTGAGCTTAGTTTGTTCTTCTTTTTTCTAGTTCCTTGAGGTATAAAGTTAGGTTGTTTATTTTAGGTCTTTCTTTTTCCTTAAGGTAGGTGTTTATTGCTATAAACATCCCTCTTAGAACTACTTTTGGTGCATTCCATCAGTTTTGGGATGTGTGTTTCTATTTTCATTTGCCTCAAGAGAGTTTTTGCTTTCCCTTTTGATTTCTTCTTTGACTCATTGGCTGTTCAGGAGTGTGTTGTTTAATTTCTACATATTTGTGAATTTTCTAATTTTCATCCTGTTATTGATTTCTATTTTTGTGTAGTTAGAAAAGATACTGAATCTGATTTCAGTCTTCTTAAATTTATTAAGGCTTATTTTGTGGCCTTCATTTGATCTATCTTGGAGAATGATCTGTGTGTGCTTCAGAAGAATGTGTATACTGCTGCTCTTGGATGGAATGTTTTGTATATGTTTGTTAGGTCCATTTTATTTATAGTATTGTTCAAGTCTGCTATTTCTTTGTTTATTTTCTATATGGATAATATATCTATTGTTGAAAGTGGGATATTGAATCCCTTACTATTATTGTATCACTGTCTATGTCTTTCTTCAGTTTTGTTAATATTTGCTTTATATATTTAGGTGCTCCAATGTTGGGTGCATATATATTTACAATTGTTATATCCTCTTGATGAATTGACCCTTTTAGCATTATATAATGACCTTCTTTGCCTCTTGTGACAGTTTTTAACTTAAAGTCTATTTTGTCTGATATATATGTAGCTACTCTTGCTTTCTTTTGTTTACCTTTGGCGTGGAACATCTTTTTCTATGCTTTCATTTTCAGCCTATGTGTGGCCTTAAAGCGAAAGATGGGCTTATTTTCCTGAAAGAGAACATTTAATAAAAATGGTGTGTGGTGTGCTTGGACTTGAATTTCCTTCATAATTGCCTCAGTACTCTCCTTTCTCTTTGATGATATAAATTCAGCTTCATTGACATTTCTGGAGGATATTTCCAACTCTATAGTTGGATATTTTCCAAAGTCTTGTAAAAGTAGCTGTAGTTGATTATTTTACCCATTCATCAAATATTTGTTGAGCTCCTACTACATGCAAGATAATTTGTTCAAGAGGAAGCTTATCCTCAGAGTTAAAAGATGTATCCAAATTAAAACATCAGCCTTTGTGTTGCCTTGCTTATCTTAGAAAGTTACTCTTCCATAATAACTACTGTAATCAGCTCATATTTTCAAAGATTTCCATGTGGTATTCCTGTGTTCATTTATTTAACATCTTTTTCTTCTTAAGCACTGTATGTTCCTGCCACCCTATGTGGCAGGGATTAAATATTGAATAAGGCAGGTTGGGTACCTACCCTAGTGTAGTTTATACTCTAGATGGAGAGAAAAATATTAAGAAAGGTAACATATTACAGAAGAGCTTTTGTCTAGGAAATAAATAGGATGAATATAATATATAAAGAGAATATAAGTTCCAGGGGAGAGGACTATTCAAATGGAACAGCCTCTATATAAATGTCTCTGAAGTGACATTTAAGCTGAGGCCAACCACGAGAAAGAGACAATGTCAAAATACACAAAAGTTAAGGAGAAAAAGAAAAATGTTCCCTACCTTCAAGAAGCTAGATTCAACAGACAATCAAACCTAGAATAGGATATTTTTTAAACTCAAATTTTTGCAATGTACCACCCATCAAAAGTTGTTTAATAAATTTTTTTCTATGATAATAGTGATGATTTTAGAAAATGATTTTAACTGTTATTTCCACAAACACTAAGGCAAAAATTAAAAGAGATTCTTGTTCGTTTCTAAGAGTCTTCATAGTAATATTACTTTGGAGAATGATTTTTTAGAGAATCAAAAAAACAAGTTATTTTGGGAGCTTTCATTTGCTACTCAAAAGTTTGATCTGATATTTAATTGATAAAAAGTTATGTCTCTAAGATAGTCATCTTTATGAATTGACCAAAATGATTATATTTTTTTGTATTTTAAATTATGTCTAATTGAAATTCTAAAAAGATACATTTTGTTTTACTAAGGAATATTTGATTAAGATAACATTAAAATGTTGTAGAAAACATTATTAATAGAGCTGTTTCATTATTAAAAAAAATTCTTATGCTATTTTTGAAGCAGATTTTTCTGATGTCAGAAAATATTTTTATTATAAAAATTACACCAATAGTATTGCTCATGATTACTTTATCTGTAAGGAAGGATCATGACAAAGAGAGTTTTGCCTACTCTGTGCTCAATGACTGCTCAGAGGCAAGGGGAGAACGTGTGGGCTGGTTAATGCTTGGGGAAGAGGGACCCTGAAGGTATGAGCCGGCCCCCAGTGAAAGTATCATAAAAGGTACTTATCCTGGGTCTCTGCTCTTTCTAATATTATGGTCACTCCAAAGAGAAACTATCCAGCAAAGAGAAGCAGAGAAAATAAAGCAGTTTTTTAAGGAATCTTAAAAAACTTTTATCTGAGTTACATAATCAATGTTGGTAAAAATAAAAAATGTGCCCTTTTTTTTAATTTCCTTGATGATGCTGATGATAATGATTCTCTTTCTCCTCCTCCTCCTCCCTCTATGTTCTTTATTCTCCTCCTCCTCTTCCTTTTCCCTCTTCTCCAAAAGTTTTACTCATTTTTCAGCAATCCCCTTAATCACAATGATCACCATTGGTTTCATTAAATCATAATACCTAGGTCATATCTAGACAAATTTTATATAAATTTTTATTGACCTACATAATGATTTCTTGTAAGCCAGTTAATGTTTTTCAGACAAGTTGGCTTTTGTTAAGTTGAATGGCTAGATCTGAAATATTTAGTCATTTATTACAAATAGATACCAGCTTTTATTTTCAGAGCCTTAGGTCTGGGAGAATTGTTAATAAATGGAAATGCAAATAAGTGCCCATGCTATAAATAAACAGTTTAGCTCTTCTGAAAGTCATCAATGTCAAACCAGTTTCTGCAACTAGATAATTCATGTTGCTAGCTAATCTTACTTATTCTGTAGCATCGTGTATGTTACCGATAAATGGTGACTTTCTGGCTTCATTGTTCTGTGCACAAAGATAGGATGGTTAATAAATGTGGCATTCCTTCCTGATTTAGTGATCTGCTTTAGGTAATGTCATCTTACCATAATTGGACCTTTGCAACCAAAGGTATTAAAATTTACATGTAAAACACTTTGCAGCCACAGTAATAATAGTAGATTTTCTTTTTGTGGTTTTGTTTTGTTCACCTGCTCCAGACATGGATGTCATCGAGTGCTCCTTGCAGTTCCCAGATGATGATTACTCCTGGTGGGACCTCTTCATGAAGATCTGTGTCTTCGTCTTTGCCTTTGTGATCCCTGTCCTCATCATCATTATCTGCTACACCCTGATGATCCTGCGCTTAAAGAGTGTCCGACTCCTTTCTGGCTCCCGAGAGAAAGATCGCAACCTCCGTCGGATCACCAGGCTTGTCCTCGTGGTGGTGGCGGTCTTTATCGTCTGTTGGACTCCCATTCACATTTTTATCCTTGTGGAGGCTCTAGGGAGTACCTCCCACAGCACGGCTGCCCTCTCCAGCTATTACTTCTGCATCGCCTTAGGTTACACCAACAGCAGCCTGAACCCCATTCTTTATGCCTTTCTCGATGAAAACTTCAAGCGGTGTTTCAGGGACTTCTGCTTTCCAATTAAGATGAGGATGGAGCGACAGAGCACTAGTAGAGTCAGAAATACGGTTCAGGATCCTTCTTACATGAGGGATGTTGATGGAATAAATAAGCCAGTATGACTAGTCGTGGAGATGTCTTATAGTTCTGCAGGAAGAGAAGAGTTCAATGATCTAGGTTTAACTCAGATTACTACTGCAGTCTGAGATAGAAAAGGAGAATTCTTAACAAACATTTAGAAATCTCATGGTCTGAAGTCATAAGATGCAGGCTGCATTAGTGACCCAGGTCAGTGGAAGCATCAAGGCTGTGGGAATGGAGTAAAAAAGACCCGAGCAAGCAAATACAACCCCTCTCTAGGACAAGGAAACAAACTTGACTCCCAACTCCTTTGATGATCAAAGAAACAAGCCGTTTTCTTCTGGTAACCTAGATTTAGTTCAGGACCCATCTGCTGTGGCTTTCCTATGCAATGTGGTTTGAAAAACTCTGTTTAGAAAAAAGGAAAGGGGAAAAAAAAAACACGTTGATTTCAGAGGTTAGTGGGCATCCAATTCAGATGCTTAACCTTGACAGAAACAACCTCAGTAAGAAGAAGGACCATTTCCAGGGCCCATGCACAGCTCAGTTTATGCTATATGGGCACACTTTTCATGTGGCAATGTGAAGATTCCAGCTTAAGTATGACTTGGACCCACACCTGAGGTGTTTGATGTTCATAGTAGAAATTATCTTGATATTTATGAATTTACTTAAACATGCAAAAGATGGTTTCCAACATATTTTAATTTCTTGAGAACTATACTTTGTTTTTTAGCATGCTATTCAGATAAGTAATCTCACGATAATGCGTGTCTTGATGTTAAGAAACATAGGGTGGTTTAAATACCACCAAAAGTATGTATAGTTTCATCTGTGAATAACAGTATATGTGCAAATAATGAATGGCATTGCCTTCCAGCCAGGCAGTTTCCCTAGGGCACACTAAGGATATCCTCTGAGTTATTAGAGTTGATGCAGAGACATTTTGCTGCAACATAAGCTTCTCTGGGAATCAGTCATGGTGCCATCTCTTTCGGACTCCCTGAGCACCATTTAGTTCTTTAGCAGGGCTCATAACTCATGTGTTAATGAAGCACAAAATATTTAACTCGCTTCCAGGTTGTAGCCTTGGCAGAATCTAGTTTATATGCAGCATCTCTTTATGAATATATGGCTATTACTAGATTCTTTCTATTCATGGAGGGAGGGCATTTTGCTCATGTAAATCTTGAGATGTTACTTTGTAGCTTTTAGTAGGAAGTGGAATTGTTCCTAATTGTGGGCCGAATGAGGACATTATGTTACTCATGGTGCTTGGACATACCTTCCACTGGGTTCTGTGAAGAGCATACCTGCTGAGGATAATGCCATGAGCAGCACATTTAGGGTAATTTTGTTAAAACTTCCAGATGACATATAAATTCCCCTTCCTTTCCCCTGAAACTTAGTTTTCAGAGGTAATGGCTTTTTCTTTCATTTGCCTGAGCAGAAGAAAGAGATAATTTAGAAATAACACTCTTCTCTTCTTTAAGCTTATATGTTATTAGGGCAGCACGTTCTGGAATTTAATAGGAAAATCAAATGTATAGACCTATACAACTATAGATATCACTACATCTACAAGTTCTGTTCACTGTGTGCTTTCTCTCTTGTGTATATATTCTCTCCTTTTGGAAACAAACCTTGCATTTAAGATTTTATATGTAGCTTCAGAATTTTACTATGATGACATTTAGCTATATTCCCGATTTTCATGGCATTTAACACAGACGACTTGAGTCAGCAAGGCAGGGTAACCTAACGAAAATGAAGTGCTTTTTTGGACATTTCTTAAATTTCATTGATTTTCTTAGGTGTCCTTGTATTCTTATAGCTAAAGGTAGATAGGGATGGCTTAAATATTGGTTGACATTCCCCCCTGGGTTAAAAAACTAGATATCATACAAGAGGGATATCTATATGAGAATAGTTCTAGGAACAAACCCTACTGAAGTTGGAAATGTAAAAACTTCTATATGAAACAGTAAAACCTCAGAAATTTTCTTGAAGGATTCTTATGCAGTGCAAAAATATAACAGAGACACAATCATGGGACGAAATTATAGTAATGTGTTCTCTTTAAATTAGCACCCCGCATAGTCTCATAGGATCCATTGCCATTATTGGAGTCTGAATTTTAGCGTGATTATCGTGCATCTCTTCATATGTAAGTTAGCAGCCCAAGGAGATAGAGAAGTAGCTCTAAGTGCCCATGAGGGATGTTTCAAACTTCTCCATTATTGTTAACACCAATTTCCCCAAATTGAAAGAGAAAAGTGGATGGGTATGTCATTTTAGGGCACACTTTAGTGTGATAAAATGAATCATGTATGTTAGGAAAAATGCCACTTACACAAAGATGTTTCTTTGTCAGAAGTGTATATGTGCACACACGTGTGTGTGTGATAGTGTGTGCATGCATGCATATGTGTGTGTGAGGGCGTGTGTGTACTGCTGTGAAGCAGTGGTCATATTGCCATTCCTTCATTGTTCCAGACAATGCATTTGTGCAAGCCCCGCTGCCTCTCAGATATGTCCATCTCTTGATGTTCCTGTTCTCCCATCACAGCAAGGAGGGCACTGTCTGCTGTGTCTCTGTGAGACCAGAACTGCATGTATCTAACCTTGAGATCAACTCTCTACATTAACTCCATTTTCCCACCCTGGTAACAACTTCTGGAAGACAGGATCTAGTGAGAGGTCAGAAAAAATGCAGAGAAATAAAACAGCCATGAAGGAGGCAGCAATGAGGATGGAAAACCATAATGCTAACTGGGAGGAGAGTGGAACCACTGTTAGTGTCTCAGACTACTGTTAGGAATCTAGGAGCATCGCCTATGCAAAGATTTTAAGTCAAAACTCCAGGCTTAAAACTAAAAGAAGCATAGTTTGGAAAGAGTTTTGAAAAAAACCAAGGAATATTCACATAAATCTTAAGAAAATGATCCCATTCTATAATGTATAGCTGAGAAATAAAAGTTCTTAAATTTGTATAACCATGATCAGACCATTTATAGATGTTCCATCTAGTACTGGGTCATAGTAAGGTGAATAACTGGAATAAAAGGAATACATTGGCTGGCTTTAAATTAGAGCTTTTTTAAAGAGAAAACTGTGACAAGGTTGTATGTCCATTCAATGAGATTTATTTTCTCAGCAAGAGCTGTGTGGAAGATTCAGCATAAATATGAAAATCCCATCCTCAAAGGGCATAAACCTGCTTGCCCTATGGCAGTTTTCTTCCCTGAAACAAAAGTATATTCATATATTCTTTACTGTGATGTATATTATTTATATCTTGTACTTTTGGAAGGTGATGATTATGCATTGTGTCTATGATTGTGTGCCTTGCAACAAAATAAAAATTGTACCTGCTAAAAATCGCAACAGTTGATTACTGTGGTAAATCACCTATTCTTTAATGGCTTCAGTGATGCTGCCCTTCAGCAAGAACAATGTTAACTGTTTCTCAAACTATAAACAGTTGATTTAACTTTCCATCCATGACGTTGTTGTGGGTGATTAATAGAAAGGAGAAAAACGTGTAGGAATCTAAACCATGATCTTAAATACCCAAACCCATCAATCACTTAGGAAAATTCACCTGTTTCCACAGTAATGCTGTCAAAATCCGAGAATCAGTGTTACACACTGCCCTCTCCATGAAAAACCACTTTTTCATTATAAAAACTATGCAAATTTCAAAAAGCAAAATGTGCCATCAATAAAAACATAAAGAAATCAAACTTTCCTAGAAACACAAACAACCTTCTGTTCTGCTCCCAATACACTATAACCATATCACTCCATGAATGATCTGTTTCTAAATCTCATGGTGTCTGTACACACAAAAAGCAATTTAAAAACCAGGATCTTGACAAAAGAAAGTTTTTTTTGTAAGTAGAAGCAAAAACTTAGGGGATGGGGAGAAAAGGGGAATCCTCTTGCTAATTGGGAAGAACACACTAGCAGGTCCTAGTCTCATTTAAAACAGCAGAGTTCTTATTACTGTTTATCTTTGATTGATAATTCGATTTCATTAACGGTTAGAGCTCGTGTGTGTTATAAGCTTCTATTTTTGGTGGATTCTTTGGCTTGTTTAATAAAATAGGGACAAAAATAAATTGGAAAGTCTAAGGAAGCAAATAGTTTTTCATTTGAAACAAGATCCTTTCCTTGGGCTGGATGCTATATATTTGGTTGTAAAAATGTCTGAGTATGTTGAATGTGATTAGAAATTTATTTTCTAAGAAAATTGTTAATATATTTGAGAGAAAACTCAATATACAGCAAGTTTTAGGCATTGTGTTATCTTTTCTCTGTAAATTTGCAGCACTATATATTCCTGTGGATGGTCGCCAGGTTTGTGAAAACTAGTGATAACAATAACAAACAAATATCATCATTGTTTTTTTTCAGTAAATGGTACTTGAGAGCATATTCACTCATATTTATGCTGGGAACTATGCTAGATTTTGGATAGATAGGTAAACAAAACACATACACTTTTGATGCTGGCAGTTTAAGAAAAACGAGCAATTAAGGAAGTACTTACAATGTATTGCAACGGGAGCACAAATTAGTGGACTGCAACTTATCCTAAAAGGTCTATATCCATTTACCTAGACGTATTTTTAAAGTTGCTTTATCTATGTCTTTATGTTACACTTGAAGCTACTAGAAAAGTTAACAGTATTCCAATATTCGTAGATAGTTAAAATGGCGACTACTCGTAAGTAGTATAAGTGACTTATTTGAATTTGAATTAGTCAAGGAAGCCAATATGTTGAAAGCCAAACAATTTAGGAACAACATAGTCTTAAAATTATACCAGAAGATGAGACATTGATAATTATGAGCTATGCTATAAAGATGTATGTAAAACACAGACCAAACTACAGGGTCCAGTGTAGTCACTTTTAATATTTTTTTAATGGAACTGGGGAGGAAAGAGTTAAAATAGCTGCTCTGCAACCAATTAACTCCTCTTGTGGAGGATCCCCCTCCTCTACCAGGTGGGAAGAGGAGAGAAAACAGGTATGTCCT